CGGAATATACAAACTTAATTAAAACAAAATTTTTATCACTCTAAACTTAAAGCTGTAATTAGAAATGTAGCCTCCTCCTATACACTTATAATCAGTGCAGTTTACCACAGTCATTTATTTTTTTTTTTTTTTATAGCCAAGGAAGTAGTGCTTGTTTGGATTTTGAATATTTTCCTTGAAGTCTACCAGACTTGGATATTCAATAAATTTGCCATGGACTAGAAAAACTGATTCTTTTTCTTTCTAAATGATTGAACTCTTTGACTCTTATAGCCATACCTTAACTGATAACATTACTAGTTCTTCTGTTAAAAACTATTTGGTTTTTGAATTATGTCTTATATAATATTTATGCCTTCTGTATTTGGCTTATGGAAAATCTGCTCAATTGGTATTTTCATGATTTATGGTATGTATGTTGTAATAGAAACCAAGAAAACAGAATGGCCACATTCCAAATTTTGTTTTTAATTAGTTTAAATCTTTTTTTTCTTGTTTTTACTGTTGACACAATATAAAAAGGGGACAAAATTTATTTGATATGGTGTGTTAATGTTCTGAAAGTTATAGACAAAACAAAAGTTTCATATTCTGTTATTTTCTTTCATTTCTAGTTTTAAATAATAATAAATCATTTTAATAAAACTACTGTTTGCAATGGAGTAAGTTTTTAAGGTTTATACTTGTGTGCAGAATTGGATAATTGTGAGGAAACATATTATGGCCTTTTTTTTTTTTTTTTTTTTTTTTTTTACTCTTCTCATTTTACTATTCTGGTGACAAGATTATTAATTGTTGAGTATGGCTGTAAGGAGGCTTTTGATTCATACTCTTCCCCAAGAGACTGAAATAAAATGAAGTGATTGCTGGCAGTCAGAATTAGACTATTTTGTGGGATATGTTTTCCTTTTTCTTTTTCTGTTTTCTCAGTTTAGACATTTCACATGACTAATAAAATAGATCGAGTTCATTTTTACAAAAGCTTCAGCACATAATTTTGATAGTATTTATAAGCAAATTTACACTGAACTGACTATTTGTGGCTCAGCCTCAGTCCAATCATTTACACCAATAAAATTTGCTAAAGAATTGGTTCTTTAGCAAATTATCAAGTGATATACAAATTGTTGATTTTATTATTATTGTCATCATCCAAATTTATATTTACTTTCACTTTTGTCCTGATTTTAAGTATGATGATCTGTTATTCAATAAATTTAACTGACAACTTCAAGAACACATTGTCTTGTAAGTTTTAGATTAATAATTTTTTTGTTTTAAGTGAAAATTTATATTGGCTAGAAAAGAAATCTTTCTACAGTGTCTGTATGCTGTTAGAGGCCATATTTTCAGTATTAAATAACCTATTGTTTGTATCAGTAATCTTCTGTTTTATGCTGGTATTTTCATTTATTTTTAAATATAAACTCATTTTATAATACATTATTGGATTAAAACACACCAACAAATCATAGTATTCATTCACATCTTCAGAAAATGAGTTTCTTGCTAATCTGAAACCATGGCTGGTAATAAAGTCACAGAAAAAAGTCACAATTTCGGCTAGGAGAAAAAGGCATAACTTAGCTTTGCAAGTGACATGTTTTATATACATGAACCCATTGTAGCAAAGTTTTGAATTATGCTTATTACTGTCAATAATATCCATAGCAGGAGGTGTCAAAATTATTTTTCACTAAATCTAAGTATTGTTGATGCACAACAATAATGTGATCTGAGATTTTCACTATTCATTCTGTCTTCAGTGGTAGGGATAGCATTAAAAAAAAAAAAAGAAGGTCTATTAAAGAAAGATGTAGAAGCAGTGATAACATTGTCTTTTTTCCTGTGACTTTTACTTTTTACCTGGATTCCCTTAAACATCATCTTTAGATTCATGAGAGATTTGTTTAAAAATATTTGTAGGCTTGTAGTATTAGTTTGATAATTAGTTCTGTATATTCCACACCTTGAGGTTTGAAACTAGGCAAACTTTTTCATTGATTACAGTATTCTTTGTCTGGTTTGTTTATGTCCTGAACAAAATGACCTTGTATTAGACATCCATTATAATAAATATTATATTTAGGTAAATGGCTGTAGTGTAGGGTGCAAGGAGGCAATAATTTATATTTACCTTGGATCACTTCAGTTCCACTTAATAATTCATGCTTGCTACAGGACAATAAAACCAATCTTCCTATGCATCTCAGAAATCTATATTATAAAAGGAGATCTGATTCTTTGTCCATTACACACAATTTGTATGTGACTTGGCATATGTAATGCATATACATGTCTGTGTTGTGCATATGTGACTTATATATGCCATTTAATGTACACAATGTGCATACGTAGACATGAACACACAATTTGAGTTTGAAATAAGACATTAGAATACTCCTCTCACAGACTGAGCAATAAAATCATAAATTTCGGGGTAAGAGAAAAACAAAAGGAAATTTTTTAAACACTAAAAAATAAGATTTTATTGAATTTTACTGACATTATAGAATCAGTAAAAAAAAATATTTTTAGGTCTGTCATTAATTTGAAATATGTATGCACAGCAAATATATATATACACACATGATTTAAATGAAATTGGGGGCCCAAGGTAATGTTTTGTGACCTTTGCTGTCTTATCAACATTGGCTTTTATTCTACCTACATTTATATATACATTACAAATTAAACTAAGCACAATTCATTATTAATGAATGAAAATTTTTAGAGGATTTTGATGTCATTCTGGGGTCTTTTATTTTTTTTCTTTTTAATTCATGAATTTCTTTTGCTCATGCTAAATCTAGAAAAACACTAAAATTCACTATTTTTTTATTCATGATATTGAATGTGTTAAAATTATTCAACTTTTTAATAATAAAAAATATCAAGCTGATGTTAAAATTTGCCACAAAACATTGATTTATTTAAGATTGAATTATTAACTATAAAATACTAAAACATGTCTTTAATTTTTATTTAGATATATTGTATTTATTTATTTTCAATTTTTCTAGTTGTTTACATATTTTGCATCTGATCCATTATTGCACTTAATTAGATTACAATAAAATGTGTTGAATACTACCTTTTAGAAAATTAAGATGTTGTAGAACCCTCTTTCCCTGTATCATAGATTTTGGTGGAGAGCATGCATGAGACCTTTGTACCAACCCTGTCTGTACCAACCCTGTCTGTACCAGCCCTGTCTGTACCATTATCTTTTGTTAGGATGCCATATCTATTCATTTTACATTTTGACTTCGTTCTTAAAAGTAAATCTACTCCAGATGTTTTTCCTTAAGATTCTCTTGAAATAGAAATCTCAGTCTTGTATATGAAAGCACTGTCCTTTTGACATTTCTATTCTTCTATAATATTTGGGAGCCTAGAACTTTGAGTTAATGCTATCAGTTTCTTCTTAAAGCATGCAAGTACATTCTGCAGATCAACAACGATATTGTAATTTTATTAAGAGTTTATTTTTTTTAAGAAAATTGCATTTTGTTTGAGTCTAACAAGAGATGTCATCAAGGTTGTATGCAAGTTTTTTTTTTTTCACATTCATTTACTGCAATCTGAATTTATAAAATCAGTAATACTATAGCTTCTTCAGTGGTCAACATTTTTACTTATGAAAACTGAATATGGCTAACATTTTTCTTAATCATTTCACCACAAGCAAGGCAATAAAGCCACTAAGACACAAAAGGTTACTGATTGTTAGGGAATATGAGAAAACAAAACATTAAGGAGAGAGAAGAAACAGGAATTAAGATGACAGAAGATAACATGGAGTATTTAAAATCTTTGAAGAGCAAAGTTGATATTGGTTTGGCATCTGTCTGTCTTGGGAGATGATGGAGTAGTGCTTATTTTTTTTTATTTTTTTAAATTCTAGGCGATGGAGCTACATTGCTACTGGTGACTGTGTAGTCTCACTCTGGAGCAGCAGTCTCTCGGGCACTTGGCGCAGATGAAACTGGATAACACGGAGATGAAGGATGTCTTTGCTTTTTTCCTGGCTCTCTTTGCTGCCTACTGACCTTCCCTCGTGGCTTCTGCAATCGTGATGCCATCACTGACTGTGGCTCTCCAAAGCTGACGATCGTTAGCCGTGGCCTCCCAGGTGTTGGGGTCGATGTCGGCCAGCTTCATGTCTTGTTTGCAGACATCCTTGAAGTGGAGCTGGGGTCTTCCAGTTGGGTGGGACCCCAACACAGCTCTCCCTACAGGATGACTCTTGGGATGTGACCGGCACCCATGCGGTGTACGTGCCCCAGCCATCTGAGACGTCTTTGGCAGAGCAGCGTAAACAGGCTGGGGATGCCAGCACATTGAAGGACCTCTCTGGTAGTGACCCAATCTTGCCACTTAATGTGCAGGAGATGTCTGAGGCAGTGGAGGTGAAAGGTGTTTAACCTCTTCACCTGACTGGCGTAAGTTGTCCAGGACTAGCTGCCGTACAGAAGGGTGCTGAGGACGCAGGCCCGGTAGACATCTAGTTTGGTGTTCTCCGTCAGCTGGCTGTTGTTCCAGACGCACTTGTTTACCTTGGCTATGACTGCGGCGGCCTTCCCTATCCTGTAGCTGATCTGTGTCCAGGGAGAGGGAGCTGGAGATGATTGACCTGAGGTAGGTGAAGGTGTGTGCCGTTGATGGCAATGTCTGGGGAGGAGGCGGTGTCTTGTGCCAGAATGTTGGTCTTTTTGAGGCTGATGGTCAAGCCAAACTCCTTGAAGGTGTGGGCCAGATGACTAAGTCCTTTCTGTGGGACGTCAGTGCAGTGTTGTCGGCAAACAGCATCTCGCGAATAAGGACCTCATAGACCTTGGTCTTAGGGCACAGTCGGGCGATGTTGTAGAGTCTGCCGTCTGCTCTAGTGTGGATGTAGATGCCATCCATGCAGTTGCAGAAGGCATACTGGAGAAGCATGGAGAAGAAGATCCCAAAGAATGTTGGCGCCAGGACACAGCCCTGCTTTACGCCACTGCTCACAGGAGGATGAAGAGTCTGCTTCTGCTGACCAACTCGAAGGCTTTTGTCAGGTCAAAAAAGGTGATATACAGTGGTTTCTGCTGCTCGCAGCACTTCTCCTTCATCTGGCGCAGCAAGATCATGTCCACTGTAGATCGGCCTGCCCTGAAGCTGCACTGCGACTCAGGGTACACATGGGAGGCAAGGCTCTGCAGATGTGGCAAGAAGACGCAGACAAAGAACTTCCCAACAACACTGAGGTGGGAACTGCTGTGGAAGTTATTGCAGTCACTGTGGTCACCTTTATTCTTATAGAGGGTGACAATGTTGGCATCTTGCATATCCCGGGGGACGTGGCCCTTCTCCCAGCACAGGCACAGGAGCTCGCGGAGATGCCACAGCAGAGCTGGCTTGCCACTCTTCAGAACTTCCAATGGGATCCTGTCCCTCCCAGGGGCCCTCCCACAGGAGAGACAGTCAATGGCTTTTCTGAGATCTTCTGCAGAGGGCGGGGCATCCAACTCCTCCATGGCTGGGAGACTGGGCAAGGCATCCAGGGCGGCATCCGTCACCACGTTCTGGGTTGCATAAAGCTCCAAGTAGTGCTCCACCCAGCACTCCAGCTGGTTGCACTGGTCTGTAATGACCTTTCCTGCCCTAAATTTCCGTGAAGCCGTCTTGATGGCAGTGGGGCTGGTGGCAGTTTTGATGCTAGTGTACATGCCTCTTGCGTTTCCACTGTCAGCAGCCATCTGAATCCTGCTGCACAGGTTCAGCCAGTAGTCATTGGCACAGCAGTGTGCAGTCTGTTGGGCCTTGCTGTGAGCAACTCTGAGGGCATCACGGGTACTGACGCAAGGGTTTTGCCTGTAGGTCAGAAGTGCTTGTCTCTTTGCTTCAGAGGTTGGCTGCATCTCATCCCAGTGAGCTCCATACCAGTCTGCATTTCGATGATCCTTCTTCCCAAATGCGATAAGGGCTGAGGTGTATATGGCATGATGGAGGTGGTGTCATCTACTGTCGATGTTAGTGGCACTGAAGGATGATTTGTTGACCATCGTGCTAAAGGTGGTTTGGAAGTCTAGGTATCAAAGAGGAAAGCTTATAAGAACAATTACCATGAAAATATTTATAGAAAAGACAGTGAAACTGCCCCAGCAGTGGTGGGAATGTTACTGAAACTGAGATGCCAGGTCAGGGTCAATACTAATATTACTTAATATTTTTTGATTTGACCTGAGCATCTACTGGATTTGTTGTATTCTTTTGTTCTTCAGCAAAATTAATTATTGACATTTGTTGATTGCATTATCATATTTGATATATGCATTGTCATATTTTCTAGCCTATAAGACATGGTTTAGCTTAATGTGTTGGTTTGAAACTTAGTCACTGAGAACTCAAGGTATACATCTAAATGTTTGGTATTAGTTATGGTGAGAGTGTTCTTATAAAATGTACATCTTAATGACTAACAAACATAATGGTATATTGTATGTTACTAAGTTTCAATCTTGATGTGTGTACAATCAGAGTACTAACATTTTGTTTGATGTCATATTACATTTTCGGCTTTGTATCGTGCTTGTAAAATATGTGAGGATTTTCATTTGAAATTTTAATATGCCTTAACATTGACATGTACTTGTAGTTTCATGCTCTGAAATTGGATATTGTCATTTGTCTGTGAACTATTGAGATGTGTATATTCATTTTTGTTTGTTTGAACACTACATTTGGAAAACAAAGGTAATTATGCAATACAAATCAAGAAGATAGAAAAGTGCATTAAACTGAAACAGTGATTGAAATGGCAATGATAAAGAGATAATACTAGCTAAAATATTATTTAACTTACTCTGTTGAAATATTCAGTAGCTAAGCCATTGTTTATTTGTAGAATACAGGATGTAATCTTAGTTGGATATTTATGAAATTTACCTTCAAGGTATAACTAGATAAGTTTCAAGGTTTCAAGTAGCAGAATTAAATGTTGTATATCCTAGAACTTTAGCCAAAAGGTGAGCATATATTTCTTCAGATAAATTGATATCTTTATCCTTTCCGAAGTTAATTTGATGACTGAAATGTGTAGTTATAACATTTCCATTTTAAAATAATTTTAAATTTAAAGTATTATTAATTGTATTAAATTTTATAAAATCTATTAATTTGAACACTTTTTGTTATTATTAATATTGGCATAAATAAATACATTCTTTTCAAATGATAAATTTATGATAAAAATATTTTTTTGTTAAATAATCCATGTTGATTTAGGAAAGAAAAAAACTCAATATTTTCAAAATAAATAAAATCTGATTAAGTCTCATTAAATATTAATGACTAAACAAATTTAAACAATTTCTTTTGATGTCTATAATTACATAAGCTAGAATGAACAGTTCAAGTCTTCTTTTATTGCTCACTCAGGTACATTTTATTAATTGCCAATTAAATTTAATTGCCTATTGTTCAATGTGTTAATTCTGTACCCTGAAGTGTTCATCTTCCCTCTTACTTTTTCTCAGTAAATATATAATTTTATTTCTCATCTATTTAATAATATAAAAGTAATATAAAAGATATTCCTGACAATCATACCAATTGAATATTAGACTTTAAAAATAAACTGCCATATGTTTTTTTGACTTCTATAAACTTTTCTTTTCCCTTTTTTGATTATATACTGGCATGTCTTATATACTTTGTAATTTGATCTTTCAGTCATCTGTTCTACTTTCAAGTGTACAGATCCAATTTTTTTTGTCTACTGATATAACATTAATATCAGAATGTAGTTCATCTTTTAAAAACATTATGCATAGATTTTAGAGAAATCAAATGTTGAAGTTTCTGCATGATTTCAGTATTAACAAAAGCCTTTGATTGTTGGAGTCCTGCCAATTCAAGATATTGATGATTCATGTTTGATTATAGGAAATTTTTCTTTCCGTCTGTGTCTCTGATCATCATAGCCTCATGTACAAGTTCTTTTGAAACTTTTAAAAATGTTTTCCCAGGTTACCATGAGTGCAATTTGTCTGTGCTTATAACTTACAGAAACCTTTTCTGATGGTGTTAATCATGCAATATGATTTGAAGCATTGCAATCATTGATGTTTGCCACTTTATTTTATATTCATTTGTGATTATTTTGAAGAATCATATCTGTACATTAGGTATATAATTTAAAATATACTCAAAGAAAATGATTTCTTAAAATATACATTTGATAAGTTTGAGTTGACAGTTTGTATTTATTTTTTAATCAGATAAACTTTTTTTTTCTGCCAGACAATCAAAAATAAAATGTTTCCCCTTCTAGGAAATATAGATTTATAAGAACACAGCACTAATATTGCTGTCTAAAATCAATGTTATCTTTGAACAAAAGAGTCTCTCATTGTATTTTCTGCTAACTCAGTGCCAACTCTTGACTAAGCTGATTGTGATTAGTAAAAATAAAATGGCTTCTTTCCTTTATTTGATGGTATCTTTTGGGGAGAAAAATTAAACTTGTTGCAGATAAATTATTAATTGCAAAGAAAGTTTCATTGTTCTGTTATAAGATTGGGCACCTGTAATTACTCACCTGAAATAATTAAATTTAAAGTTAGTGAAAGCAGTCTAATAAATAAACTTTAAGCTGCAATTTTATATTTTTTATTGCAGTTTCTGTTAAAATATGTGGTGCCAATACTACTGTCTTTTGGAAAAGCCAAGATAATTATTAGAAAAAGATTATAAATCTTCTTTTAATTCAAAGATAAAATATTTAAGACTTTGGATGCCAATAAGTTAGGTTGATGGTTAGTTTTACTTGTAAAGAATAAACGCAATATGTTATGGTAACAAACTATAAACTTTTAGACAACTGTATGCCCTAACCATCAACCTATAAAAAAAAAACAGATTTAGTTTTTTGTGGACAGAAGAGATTTTAATATGACTACCATGATTGACATTCATTTTAGTTTTATGTGCACATGGCTGAGTGGTTAGAACATTCACTTTCTGACCATGAGATCTGGGTTCAGATCTCACCATGGTTGATTTTTCAGAAAGTTGACTTCTTGATATCTGTATGGAGGAGGTGATCCCATCATGCAATGCATTTGGAAAGTGCCTGAAAAACATACCACAGGTTAACCTAAGACTTGTGAGTGAAATTGGGTAGACAAAACTCATCAGTAGCTGTATAAGGTTGCGCTAGCACAAACTCACAAGTCATTGTGACTGAGGGTTTGAGCGTGCTAGTCTTGTTCAAGCTGTTGATCATGCTAGATAATGTGCTCTCTCTCCCAGAAACTGTAACTGGGGTTCACTCAGCATAGTTGCAGTATAAATGGCAGGTAGGCTCTGTGGGTGTTGAGCAAACACAAATGTGTCTGAACAGGCATCTGCAATTGGCTAGCATCCCCAAATACAAGTGGCCAGGAATTTTAATTTTTTATTTTAAAAAAGAAGGGAACTTTTCTTTTGTGGTGTGTCATCAAGTGTAGATGATTTTTACTAGAAGCATTTGTTGTGTGTTCACTTTTGCACAAATATTCTTGGGTAAAGATGAATCTGTCTCTTCTCTACAAAACTATACATTAAATAGCAGAGTAGATTGGTTGCCACTCAAGGCTAGAGAACACAGTCTCAGAAGAGGACAAATCTGAATTGAATAGGGGGATAGTAAAAGATGCCTTCCAAAAACTAAGTATTAAGAAATAGGATAATTTTCATTAGAAACAAAGAGTACTGAACTGTTATGTAATATCAGTCCTCCTATATAGCAGTGAATACTAGGCAATCTCCTCACAAATGAAAAAGAGAATTGAAGCAACAGAAATGTGGTTCTACAAATGCATGCTGAGAATTCTATGAACATGTGAACAACAACAGAGTTTTAGAGAGCATGTAATCAAATTGGTCACTTATATATCATCAGAAAGAGAAAGTTAAAATGTTCTGAAGGGCGACAGCACATAGAAGAATCTGTTTTTATATATTACAATTACATTTTGCTGTTGGTGTAACAAAGAAACCTTGAATATGCCTGTTTACCTGTATTTATAAATGGTTCTGATTACTTCAAAGCATCTTTCTCCAAACAGCCTTTCAGTGTCATAATTCAATTCTTTAAGAAAAATTGAAAGTTTCAATTAACTTTTGTCAATACACCTGGAGTTTTTATAACATTATATTCAACAAAAGTAAAATAAATTCATATGGCATTTTCATATTTGTTGTGTGTGTTTATATATATATATATATATATATATATATATATATATATATATATATATATATATAAAATGTTGTATTTGTTTATATATTTGTTATGTTAATTCTGATTCTAGGTATTAATAAAAAAAATACTGAAAACACTTAATCCATGAAACTGATTTTGTTTTGTCTGAGTTATGTAACTGACCTAATAGGAATAATTTTCTGTTGCTAATCAAGTAAAATCTTCTAAAGATATTAATGTATTATATAAGGTTCTCACTTTCCCGGATTAAATGAATTAGTAACCTTTCATATTTAAGTTTATACACCTTACATACATACCATTACTCTCTAATATTATATTGTTATACTTTTCATTAAATATATACACTAGCAGAGTTACTAGACTTAAAACAATAGATAATCTTTAAGAAATTAATTTTAATTGAGAATTACTGTTTTATAATTAAGATGAAAGTTTATAAATAGGAAATACAAATAGATCATTTCTAAGAAAGGAATCAGATTAAAAAAAGTCTTATCAAATCAGAAATTAATTTCTTGCTTTTCTTTCTATGACAAGTGTTATAACCAAATTTTGACCTCATTTATTAAATCATAAGGAATATTTATCTTTATTTCTCAAACTTTAAACATATTCAAGAAATATAATAATGAATACATATTATATATG